ATTTTACATTATAACTTGAACTTTTTACAACTTGGTAAATTCTTGAGGTTCTAGGGTCTTACAGTTATTATTTTATCGATGGTACTTTATTTTTTATGTTTTACATTTGATGGTGAAATTATGCATTATGTGCATAATTATAAGTAATTTAAAGTAAGTATTATTGTAAATAAGTGACGAAATTGGTAAAATTGAATATGTGAAATTAGAAAGATGTGTGATAACCAATTTGTAATACAATTTATTAATGAATTTCTCTCTTATATAGATATCACTAAAGTGCTATCCAAACAATGAATCATTTACATGGTAAACTTTCTATATTTATTAGAAAATATTTGTATAATATATTTATTAGGAAAATAATTTTTGTATTATGATAAAGAATTGAAAAATTAGTTGGTGTGTTGGGTTAGAGTGTGGCAAAAGGGTTACAGGAAGGAAGGAGAAGAAGAAGAAAAGAAAGTAAGAAAATTGATGGAGAAACTGAGAAGTGCGGTGAATGAAATAGCCTACGCTCACACTCTCTCTCACCTCACTCCATTTCATCGCTCTCTGCTCCCTTTCCTTTCCATTGCCTCCACACTCTATAAACTCGCCCTCTCACTTCGCCGCTCACTTTACCAATACCGTTTCTTTCAAGTCCAATGGTAAATTTTCCCTTTTCAGTTTGCGCTTTCGAATTTAGGAAATTGGAATTCATGAAATAGCGTTTCTAATCTTTATCCCAACAAATCCTTAACTTCACTAACTAACTGTGTTTTCTGTGGTGTTGTTTTTGTGTGTGTAGTTTGCCAGTTCGTGTGATCAGTGTTGGTAATTTGAGTTGGGGAGGCAATGGGAAGACGCCGATGGTGGAGTTCATCGCTCTCTGCTTTTCGCGTCACGGAATTTCACCTCTAGTTCTTTCTAGGGTATTTTTTTTTCTTTTTGCATTCCCCGAATTAATAGCTGTTACTGTATCTTCTTGGTTCAATTTTTATAGACTAGTGATTTTTTTCCCACAGTAAGCCGAAAAAACATAAATGATGAATTTAACTAGATAAATTGATACTTTTCTTAGTGGTTATTTATTAATTGATTATTAAGCACTTCTAGTGTAACAAAAAAAATGACAGTAGTTTTTCATAAGCTCGTACATAAATTAAAAAAACTAATGTGAAATAACTTTATAATTTAGTATATACATAAGCTGATTCTAGGTTATGGAAAAGCAGATTTTATTTTTTCTTTTTACTAAAACAACATATATTTGTTCTCACTTTTAACATTATTTTTTCTTCTTACGTATCCTGATGCCAAGAGGCTCCTGGATAAGCAAAGGGATGAAACAATATAATTGTACGCAGCCTTTTCAATTACACCATGTGTTCATTGGTTTCTCAGTTAGTCCAGTTTGACTGACTGGCTAGTCTGAACTGGCTTAGATAGCTATGATTATAAGTGCATAAATTATTAGCATAGTTTGATAATTGGTTAATAATTAAATGTTACAGTGGCTGATGTGTGTATTCTTTTGCCATACCTTTAGGATTTACCTCCATGTGAAATAATGACACTTGGTTATGACTTATGCCGCTTTTCTTGATTTTTGTGCTCTTAAGTTTAAACCGAAGCGGTCAATGTCTGGCAGGGTTATGGTGGTGGGGATGAAGTCAACATGCTTAGGAGGCATTTACTTGGGACACCAACTAAGATTGGTGTTGGTGCTAACCGAGCTGCTGTTGCAAGGCATTTTATCCGAAAATATGGCTACATTGATATTTGTAAGACTTCATGGCACGAGAAACAATACCTTGAACGGAAGGTTCAGAATTCTCTTCATTCAGAAAAAATTGGGGTTGTAGTTCTTGACGATGCTATGCAGGTAATGCAACTCTTCTCCCCACTTGATTATTTTCCTCACTTTGTTGATTTACTATTTCAGGATTTTGTTCTTAATGATATCCTGAAAATACCTTGTTCCCCACTTGTGATCTGCTCTGATAATTATGTTACTACTTTGGTGCTAGTGACACAAATGCTTGAAATTAAGATTTTATCTTTTGCCTTGATGTGGCATTTGCTCTAAACCGTATTATCTACATGTAAGGTAGCATTGGAGCTTGTGGCGAGATTTGGATATTGTAATGGTTAACGGATTAACACTTTGGGGTAACCTTCAACTATTGCCTCGTGGACCGCTAAGGGAACCTTTGACTGCACTTAGGCGAGCAGATGCAGTTGTAATCCATCATGCTGATTTGGTATGATAAAATGATATATGTAGTTCCCTTTCAAGAAAATTGCTTACCTTTTTGACAAGCTGTTCTTTCATCAGTGTAGTTTTGCCGTTTGCATGAGCAATTTTGGTTATGCTGAGTTTTAAAAGCTTGTCATATTACTGAAAATTGTACTTTGGTAGAACAGGTTTCTGAGCATACTCTGAAGGATATTGAATCAATGATCTTAAGGATTAAAAGGTCTGTTTGTATTTTCTTTACAAAAATGGATCCAACTTACTTATTTGAGGTGGGAACTATCAATGCCAAAATACCATTGACGGCTCTTCATGAAGCTACTACATTATGTGTTTCTGCTATTGGTTCTGCGGAGCCTTTTGTGAAGCAGATTCAAAAGGTATTCATCCGTACTAGTTACTCCTTATCCTAATGAAATTTAATTGATATCTAGCACAAACGTTTTAATTGACTGTTTCATTTTAACATCCTAAGACTTATCCACCATTTTATCTAAAATCATATAATTGTGAAATTTCTTAACTTTCGGATCTATTAGAAGTATAATAACTCAAATTCTTGTTAATGAAATGTATAACTAAGTGGGAGACATTCTTGTCACAACTGTTTAATATAATAAATACTAAAATATACTAGAAAATGATCGACTATGGAATTGAGAGACAATAAGGATTAAACGGGTGTTCCACGCTTAATGACTAACACATACAAACCCCTTTGTTTGCCATGCTATCTAAATATAATGGTGTATGGATTTTAGGTGGATTTTCACTCTCTTTTCTCCTCTGTCTGTATTTATTATTTAATCTCTAAACTGCAGATATCTTGATGCTGATGCAGATGCGAGCACTTTATGTTGATCGAATAGATTTCAGTGATCATCACATATTCCATGCCAGGGTACACTTTTCTCCTGAATTTGGAAGAAATAATTTGTTGACTGACGGCATACCATGTTAATTGAAAACACCATTTAAACCTGTTGTGTTTTTCTGGATGCTGTGCTGTTAAAATGGACAATGGTTTGTGAGATAGCTGCAAGAGGATCATATTTGAGCTTTGTCTACTTTTTTATTAATTTATTTTGAATTTTCTTATGTGGTTTAGTTAGACACTAACTAAGATGCTACTTTATTCTATATTTTCAATTAATCCAGGATATTGAGATAATCAGAGCCAAACTTAGAGAACTAGAGGGGAAGTTTGATTCCAAACCAGTTGTTGTAATAACTGAAAAGGTAAGTAGTCATACTTCCCATATATATTTTATTGTGTGCAGTGTATGTATTGAGTTACATATATTTCTTAGCATCTGGAATCACAGCATTATTTCTTCTTGGCAGGATTATGATAGGGACCCTGAAATTCTTAAGCAATTGTATCCATTTAGAGTTTTTGTTCTCTGTTCTGTATTGAAGGTTCTACCCTATAGAGGAAGCACAGAGGATAGCTTTAAGAAATTTCTGAAGGATCATTTAAAATTAGAACGGCGTCCAGCACATTAGCCCTATGTCACTGGTCCTGGTTACTTTTATATAGTTGATGGTATTTTTTCCCCCGAGTTACGCAAGGGACCAATAAAGTTGATACTTATTGTTTTTCAGAGACTAATAATGTACTAGGCATAGAGGGAGAATGATGGAACAATTAAAGTATCTCTGGTTTATAATCTTGAGGAATATTTAGTTACTTTTTCTTTAAGGACCAAATTGAGTAGAGTGATTTTTTATTCAAGACCAGATTTTACTTTTTATCAAATTACTATATGAAATTCTTAGTATTAGACAATTTAGTTTCTAACGCTTTAAATGTATTATTTTAGTCTTTGAAATTACCAAACGACAGGTATCATTTGTAGAGTAATTCTTATTTCAGCAATTAGATTGTTCTTTCCCATCTCATGATGTAAAAGCGGATGAGGTAGAGTTCAAATCCATAAAATCGATATCATAATCTAATCATCTTTCTTGTTTGAAAGTGAACAACCTTTTCATGAAATTCAACAATCCTTGATAATATCTTCCCTGAGATCCTTCCAGACCTCAAAAGTAGATTCCACCCTTTGTAATCTTTGTGTAAATGATTGATATAATCCTTGATTAACCTGTAATAGGACCCTGCATGATCCAAAAGGTAGATAATGTATAGATTTGAAGAGAGTTTTATCTATAAACTGGAATTTATTCTTCAAAACAAGAATAATAATAGCATCACGTATAGATTTTCATTAGAATGAAGAAAACAAGTGCTCAAAGAATCAGTGGAATTTCAAAGCTAAGATATTGTATACTACCAACCAGTACGCAATGTCTTGAACTAAAAGTTACATAAAATAATTGAACTATCAGAAACTATAGAATTATTGAATTTTATGTATTATGAAAGACTTATAAATATATTGAAACGATTAAACAAGAAAATATCATAACTAAATGTTAACTTCACACTATTTCTTTCCCTTGTTAACCAATAAATGCTTTTTTATATGCTTGTCATAGACTCAAACAGAATGGAGTGTGACGTGTTATTATTAAACTCCTAAATTTCGATTGGGACAGAGCCAAATAGTGTGTGTATCAATAAGGTCACAAATATCACAATTTCCTTTTCTTTCTTTGTAGATATCTCAACATAAATTATGATAATAATAAGTTGAAGTTGTTTAAGATATAATAGTGACTTGTATCCAACTGATTGATAGCGATTGTTACGACGTGGTGCCACAAGTTCTAACATCTTTTACTATATTAAATTAAATATTATGCTGAATTTCGATTGAATCAATGTTATCATGTAAACAAATGTATATTTTAGCCTGGGGTAAAAGTTGAAACCTTAATTTCGCTTATTAATAATTATTTTATAAATCATCATTATAATTATACAAGTTAAAAGAATTGTTAACGTTGGCACATAAATCAAATATGTAAAAGGAGTCTATTATCTACTTTTCGGATTCTCTAAATTTGTCATAACTTTTTAAACAAAATATATAACAAGAGAGGAAAATCATAACTAGTTTGTTGCCTGTGTTTGATTTTTGGTTGAAAATATATTTAAATTAAATATATATATATATATATCCTTCAATGAATAAACACACTTATACAATTTCATTTTAATTGATTTTTGTAACATTCCAAAAATACAGTAGAACCATATTATGGAATACTCACAATTAACAATATTACAGTTCAATTCTGAAAGAGAAGAGATACGTTTATGGTCGAACAACCTTACAACAATACTCCAGAATTTAAACTTTACAAAACAAAAGTCTATACCGAACGATTCCAAGACTAAGCTTACACCGATCGGTTATACAAAATAGAACCCATTCTAACGACCATACGGTCCTATGGTTCAGCTTTCACTTCCACTTCTTCCAAAGCTTCTTCCAGTAAACACTCGTCCCCTTCTGCTCACATCCATACGATGATCATTGCAACAAGAAGAATAACCGGACGGACAACAAGACAAAACAGGAGAATAGGGTAACCTTATCTAATTTAATTAATTAAAAAAACATAGAATTCACACAAATCTAAGATAAAATCAATAGGTCAATCATGCATCAACGAATTAGACATTTCCAACCATAACCATACAGTAATGCATGCAATGACCGACCACTTTACTTCTGACTGTCCGGACTATATGAATTCTGTGTAGCTACAACGTTTTTGCACCCGGGTGATGTAATAGCTGAGATGCCCTCAACAGCAAACACCCGAGGTTAGTAAGTTACGACCAAATTCAACTAATGGAATAGGACATACTACCATTCTCACACATGACTTACTCCTCTCTACTTGAGAATGAGTAATCACAAAATATCAGGATAAACGCTAGCTAAGCATAACCACATTCATACTCTACCATTCAAATAACCAACCATGAGATATTCCTCCATAGAATACTCTTTCATATCCATAATATTACATTCATATCACATTTTAAATATCATCATATTTCATCATCAATACAGTCAAACGGAACCCAGAAAACAAGATCCCATCTTGGAACAGAACTAAAATAGATAACCTAAATCTTAGAAGCAGGAATGAACAAGAGAATACTTTTTATACTAACATAACCGATCACTCGGTGTAAGACCGAGCGGTCTTTCACTTATCCACAGAAAAGGATCGAACGGTCCATACTAAATAAGACTTTGGTGACACAGAACGTTTACTCGATACTCAACAGTTATGACCGAACGGTCTTTACTAGATAGAACTATAAGAATGTACGAAATACATATAATTAGACTTAACCTAAAATCATGAAAGCTTTTAACCGAAACCTGAGAACTTAAACCGAACACCACAAGCTTTTAATCGAACACTACTGAGTTGGACCTAACACCCCTAGTTTCAAATATAAGTACATAATTGAGGATTATAACAAGACCGAGCGCTTGGTTCAAGACCGAGCACTACTGAGACCGAGTGATTGGTTCAAGACCGAGCACTACTGAGCTTATACAATGAAGGAATATATTCTAAATACAAATATATATAACTTATTTTCAACAAAGGATAAATATAATATTTAAGAATTTAAGTATTATTGAATACCTTAACTAAGCTGATTTAAGAAGTAAAAATAGGAAACTATACGTAGACCGAATGCTTATTTACAAGTATAATAATATAAAACCGATCGGTCATTAGCTGAAATTCTCTACAGAAGAAGAATCCAGATCAGACCGAATGCTCAAAGGAAAATCGAACAGTCAAGACTGACTTTCGAAAACAGTTACGGAATACTGCAGATTGAAACTCAGACTCTATTCATACCCAGTTTTCACCATGTATAACCATCACTCACATACAGACAATCATTCAACAACATTTATAATTTAATCTCAACCAAATATATATACAGAACATCAAACACCCAAGCCAACATTCAAAACAAAGAATCATAATTAAATTACAAGCTTCCCTTACCTCTTAAACTTAGTCGAACGCTCACAGTTGCAGTATCTGGCTCACCACTACTAATCTTATACACTTTAGAGTTTCCTGGTTTACGAAAGTAGACCAAATAACATACCAGAGTTGCTATCAGAATTCCATAGAAGAAGATGATAAACTCATGCAACCAGAATTTGGGTTTGCATGTGACAGAAACAACCGTGCTAAGAGAAGAATGAACTTACCAGTTCAAACCAATAACTTGATCGGTGCAATAGAAAGCTCTTGACACCAAGAGAACTCAGACGTGGTCTGATTGTTGATCAAAAGAAGAAAAAGATGAGAATTCGTAGAGAGAAGAATGAGATTTGTAGAGAGAAGGAGGAGAAAATGAAAAACTCGGAAAGTTGAAGATGAAGGCGGCATGCAGAAAAATGGCACGAAATTTGAAATTTGACTTATAAACTACCGTCAAAACCGATCGTCCACTATGCAGCCCACACCTGTCTTCCACTTTCTGAATTTCAGAAACCCTTGCACCTACACCTGGCTTTCCACTAACACAGGGTTTTTAAGGGTCCTGACAATTTTACACAAATTCTATTTTTTATTAAAAGATTTCTTTTTCTTTTCATCTTTCAAATAAAATATAATAATAAAAATTTTATTCAAAATCTGATAAATATATTTAATAATAAATTAATGTCTTTTATAAAGTTCAAAAATTAGAAGTTCACTCAAATTAAAGATTTTATATTAGGGCGATTAAAGACACTGTCGTAGGTCAACAAGGTTTTCTAGATGTAGTAGATGGTGAAGCCAAACTTCATGTCTCAATCATCATTATAAGTGATTATTATCATTTTTCCATAACTTTCATATCAACTAAAAAGAAAGAAACATCAGAGTAGTTATGATAAAATCTTTAAAAGATAAACATCTTATATAAAACACAGTGAAAAAAAAAGAGAAATTATTCATATTTTTATATAACTAGGGAGAGCAGTTTGTTAATAGGGAATTGTTTATAAAGTAGGTTGAAAGTTAGTTAAACAAAATTATTTATCTATGTTTCACTAAGCATAATTTTTTTTTTCAAATTCATTATAGTGAGATTTTACTTAATTTCATAAAACAATAATAACTATTGTAAAAATGCATCATTTTTAATTATATAATTTACAATTAGATCATTATTAATTTTTTTAACATTATCAAAACAATATAATTAATCTTAAAATTGAAATACTAATAACACAAGGTATATTATATATATATATATATATATATATATATATATATATATATATATATATATATAAATATAAGTATATATAAATCTTATATTATAAGTTAATTGTATAGAATTGAATTAAATTACTTTTTAATATAGTATTAAAGTTATAAATTATAGTCTATTTAACGAAATTTATTATTTGTTAGGTTTATTATTAGTGTGGTTTATTATTAGTGTGGAACTGTTATTGTATCAATTGTGATTTTAGGTTAAAAATAATATTAGAATTGATT